CCGATCCGCTGCGCGAGGGAGCATGCTAGTGCGCGCGACTTTCTCCGCGTCCCGTTCCGCTGCACGCGGGTGAGTGCGTGTGCGTCCAGATGCGCATGTGTGCGGAGTTGCGCCCCTGTGTCTCCATGCGTGACTATGGTGTGGGCGTGAATGCTCGCACCCGGCTATGTCCTGCATGCTCGCTTCTTGTCTCACCCTCTCCTCCCTTACCTCTTACCTCCTTCGTGCGTTCCTTGATGGGGACGCCTCTCTGTTGGTGCGTCTGGTTCGATTGGTCCCGTGTCTTCCGAGCTCCGCCTGTGCACCTCTGCGTGCACAAGTCGGAAGTGTCCCCGCCCTTGGGCCCGGTTGGGCTTATAAAGTTTGTTGGGCCCACCTCGACGAGGCTCCAGCAGTCCAGTGTGTCGTTGGAGTCGAAAACTTTGCAGCGCCCTGGTACTGTGGCTTCCCCGAGCTTGTACCCGGGCCTGTTTGGGCTCCCGAAAGGTTTCGAGCGAAGGGGGCCGCTTGGTCGGGTACAGGGCCTTTTGAAGCGTCCTGGTACCAGGCCTCCTCCCGAACCTAGGTCTGGGCCTACCTTCCCATGGCCCCCTCATGAGAGGTACCGGGCCTTTTAGAATTTCACAGGCAACCCGAAATTAATAATTCTATGGCCCTTTTTCCCCGCCGTAGGCCCGCGGGTCCCCTTAGGTCTTTTCTTTGGGCCATGCGCCCAGGCCCCAAGCATGCTTGAGCAACAATCCCTTCTTTGTTCTACCTCCATGATGAGCCTCGGTGTCGATTGCCAATTAGTTCCCCTGAGGGCCCGCTTTAAAGGCCCAAAGCCCTTTTTGTCTGGCCCATCGTCGAGGCACTTAAGGTAAGTCTGGTCTCCTCGTTCCCGTCCGTCCTCCGTAGCCTCCGATCTCCCTCTGTAGTATCCACTACTTCGTATCTTGGCAATGATAGGTCTCAATGGTGCGCGTAAAAAGGGCGCTCACCTAGAACTCAGGGATCCGCTTCTTCTCAACGCCTCGGTCTTGACTCTTGTCACATGAATCTGATACCGTATCCTTTGGTGTCGGTCGCGATCCCGCCAGGTAAACTGATGAGCTCCAGTTCCCGTCAAGTGTTATCCTCGAGGAAGTAAAGAGCGACATAAGGCTGAAGCTGCCCGACACCGTGCTGCATGAGCCATGGAATTTGAGAGGGGTGTGGTATCCCAATCCTGACGAGGAGAAGAAGGTAGTGGATTACCTCGACGACAAGGTACGTACGCATGTCGCCGACTATTCAAGTGGGCCATACGCGTCTCCATGATTTTATTTTGTTAAG